CTATAATACTGTAATACTCAAATAATTAACCTCTATGCAGCCCTTTAATCTTTTTAATCTGGCCCGCTGAACTTGAATAATAGTAATAATAATCATAATTTTCAGTGTTTTAAAAGTCATTTCAATAAATAGTAAATACTGTGGGACTTGAAAGACAGATATTTTGTTGTAGTGCTTTGTAATGATTTTGAATTATGGGATACTTCAGTAACATGGGATGTGTTTTCTACATATCCCATGTTATTTTTTTTCTCTTATGAGATGGATTACCAAAAAACTCAATGGTCCGTGCTCCTGGTCCAGCTCTATTGTTAAATTTTAGAACCCTTTGTAGCCCACGAGTCAAAACGTTTGCTCTAAATTGTTTAATTTTCTGGATCTATAACAGAACCGATAGTATTACAGAAACTACTATATGTTAAAAATGGGATTCTGCTTTCTTAAAGTAACTGTATATTTATTATGAAGCCTAAAAACAGTTGTATTGTACAATGTAATATCGTCACCATTGTGACTCTGTTTATGTTACAAGTCCAAACATTTCATAACTGCATGAATACATCAAGTGAATATTTTGCAAAACAGGCCAGTTTTAATTGGCTCTTTATAGTTCTTCCATGTGTCACTTCTGTATTCAGTGCATTGTGCTATAAAATGTTTCAAAGCAAACATGAACTTACTCTTGCTTCGCTGACCCCATCCACACGTGTTTACTGAGGGGAAGCCTTCTGAACAGAGCGAGGGAGGGTTGTGAAACGAAGAGGCTCATTGTTCATTTTCACTAACACACTGATGAAATTTTGCCGAGTTCCAGGAGCTTAATTACGCACATTCACCTACGAAAATACACAAATGGAGCACTAAAAGTAGTATATATATATATGACACATTACGTACAAGGTAGTCTATTCACAGCCTCTTGAATGTCATCATTTCTTTGTGTGCATACAACTGTTTTGGTTGCTGCTGCCAGTGTCATCAGGACCTTTAGTCGATCAGTTATCACCTGTATCCCAATCCCTGCCATACTTGTGACTCAACCATTCAGTCCAGACAAGAAGATTAAATTATTACGCCTCATAAATACCAATCTGACTTTGTGCCAATATTGCAATACCAAAATGAAAACAAAGACCGTGACAATAGCAACTGAAGTGAATAGAGTGCCTTTGTCTAGTCCTCACTGAGAGGCCAGTGACAGTGGTCTTGTGAGGCTGCCTCTTGTAGCCAGGATACAATAACGGCTTCTGTTGTCAACAAATATAAAGAATAAAGTTCCCATTTTTTACAATGTGTTCTTGTTTTATTATAAGAGATTTTATTATAGAGATGTCAAATAACAGGTGTGTCCAACATCACCTTCTAACCTTGACACAAAGTGAACAGAAATGCCTCCTCTTCCTGGCAAAGACATTGTTTGAGGTATTTCCTTAGGTTCATTTTGTGTGCTAGCTATGGTATTGTTCCCCACATATCAAACTCAAAAAAAGTTACAGGAAGTGGTTGTTGCTATCACAAATGATGCATCACTTTGACTGATCCTGATATGAGCCTTTGAGTCCAATTCTGTTTATTTTTATCTGTGAATAAAGGTCAAAATTATGGCCACAGCAATTTCTAAAAATATATTTCTAAAGATTTGTTTAAGTAAATATCTCGTACATTTTGTTGCAGGTAGTCTTGTGGATTTCTTGAAAACACCAGAAGGAAATAGCTTAAAAATCCACACTTTGATTGATATGGCGTCTCAGGTAAGGCTATCCATTTGCATATAGTTTTATTTGAACAATTGTTTTTGTTTCTCTGAAAATTTGAGTGTATACAGTTTTTCAGCATAGGATTGTGAACATTCTGCAAAATTTAGACACCAAAACTATGCAACAAGGCAGACCAAAGCTTTAGCATACACTTAACCAAGACGCATTACGAGTGTGTGAATGGAAAATACAACCACAGGAAGAAAGACTGTAAGGCACCCGCAATCTAAAAAGCCTAACAATTCTCCACGTCTGGTTATGTAAATCTTTTCATGTCTCTAATCTTGCCCAAGAGCAGCAGATATTTACGAATCTTAAGGGCAAAATGTACAAAATGTCTTCTCCTTTGAGGTTCTTTCTGGCACAGATAGAATTTAAAGACATATTATGCTTTTGGGGGTATTTACTATGAAACTGTTACATACATAAATCCTTATTTTGAATTTTGAGCACTGCAAAACACAATACTGATCTAAAACGGCTTAATACTAGAAATGGGTGGAGCCTGAATTTTAAGTATAATTGTAAACGCAGCACAGAACTATGAGAAGAATAAGGGGAAGGTGAAAACAAAAAAGTAAAAATCTACAAACAAGTCAAGTATAATATGTCCTCTTTAAAGTATAAGCACAGATATTTTGTTTTCAAAGATAACAATATTAAATAATGTTCTCCTACCATATTAATGCAGACACATTTTTTTTTACTGTCAGGATATTGTTGTTCTGCTCTCAGTTCAATAACAAACAGACACCAGATCGCATAATGCAAAGCTCCCTTTCAAAGACTTATGTAGCAAAGAGGTGTTACTTTTCATACAAAAATGGAAATACAAACTTTTTATACAGCTCAAGCTTTTGACAAGACCTTAGGCCAGTGACACCTCAGTGCAAGATTCTTTAGTTTGAAATGTGAACCACTGACCTATAAACTTGAGACGCTAGATACGCAGGCACACACAAAAGACTATTTAAACTTTAAATTCCATGTGAGACATTTAGGGAAAAAATAAGACTGAAATAATACTTGCAAGTATTCAAGATAGCAAACTAAACTAGTACATGTTGAAGACAGCTGTAAACCTGGGTGGAGTACATGTGTAAAGGGTAGAGTCAGGGTATCTGACCTGAGGAAGTGGCTAACACCCAGCTTTGGGCACTCATCTATCCACGCATTTATTTCAAAATCAGTACATCTCCAAACACAATATCCACTAAGAGCAAGTCTGTGCTGTCCTCTACAGGTGGCAGATGGAATGTCCTTCATTGAACATAAAAATTATATCCATCGAGATCTACGAGCTGCAAATATCCTAGTTTCACATGAACTCATCTGTAAAGTGGCTGACTTTGGACTTGCAAGACTTATAGAAGACAACGAGTACACAGCTAGAGAGGGTAAGAAAAACATCCCAAACACACTCATATCTGACTTCTTCTAACATGTGTGAATAACATATTGTCTTATCTTATTAATGTAGGTGCAAAGTTTCCCATCAAGTGGACTGCTCCAGAAGCTATAAATTATGGCACTTTTACCATTAAATCAGATGTGTGGTCATTTGGGATCCTGCTAACAGAAATTGTGACCTATGGACGCATTCCCTACCCAGGTAGTAACATACATTATTTTACATAATTCCAATGTGAATAAATCTAGCCTCTATGTACTTGCTTTTTTAAAGTTTTGAAATGTACTGTTTTCATCTAGCCACAGAGTTGAAGTTCTTTTGTATTGGTTGTTTTATAGGCATGTCCAACCCAGAAGTCATCCAGCACTTGGAGCGAGGATACAGGATGCCAAAGCCAGATGAATGCCCCGATAGCCTCTATGAGATCATGTGCATGTGCTGGAAAGAAATGCCAGATGATAGGCCCACATTTGAATATCTGAGAAGTGTTTTGGAGGATTTTTTTACTTCTACAGAGAGGCAATATCAGGACTAGCCTCCAAGACACAAAGACTTGTATATTTTTATAAAACTAAATGTTGCTGTAATGTAGTTTGGTTTGTACAAAATGGAACAATGGAATTGTTTTTTTTTTTCTATGTTTTGCAAATACTGATGATGACAAGCACATAATGCCAAAGAAAATCGAGGGTTAACAGAACTTTAATTTGTGATTATCTTTTTAGGTTTCCTTTTTTAAATAAAAGAGTTTATACATTTTTTTTTTTTTACAATGACATAGCACAGCATTCTGATTCACTATTTTTGAAACTCTTTTAAAAAGCTTTCCACTTTGAGACAATGTTGTATTGGTTTGCTTTAAAGCAATACTGTCTAACTTTCTGGAAGTGGCACGTCTCCTGCTTCCATGGAAATAGAAAGCTAGAACCATACATTGGAACATTCTCCGCAGAGATGGATTAGATTTATACCATACTGTGGAATATTATAGCCAAACGAACAACATTCCCATGAGGACAAGCGGTAGAGGTCCTGCTCCATGCCAAATAAGCAGTTTTGTGTAAATGCAAACCCACCAGGCCTGAGACTACGGGGGTGCAAAAGGAAACATTGCAAACTCAATTACAAATGTATGCACTGTCAGCGCAGGTGCCTAAAGTAAGGACATTTAATGGAAGAGCACATGTTATGGTTTTCAGTGCAATAAAAATATTCAAAATGAAAAATAAATAACTTTTACTTTAGTATATTTCGGAGGTTAATCAGTGGGGCTTTCAATCAGTACACCTACTGTTAGGCCACCCATCTATTCAGTTAACACTTCACAGTATGCTTACTTGACTCTGTGGTCACTGGTTTAGTGTACAGTCTGACTCTGTGGTGAGTAGTTTAGTGTATTGTACTGTATTACTTAGAACATGTGTATAAATACACGCTCACCTGTTGTTGCGTGTGTGCGGAGCAGACTCTGGCGCCCTCTGCTGGGCAGGGCGTGCAGCACACAGACCTGGTCCATTATGGGTCCATGCCTGTTCCTCTCCGCCGCTGGTCGCTGTTGTCTCACACCGCGGTGCGCTGAAAGCCTTCTAAAGGGACTAAAATGGCGCTTACTTCGCAAGGAACAAAGAAAAAAGTTTGCTACTATTATGATGGTACGTACTTACGTGTGTTAAATTGTTTGCAATAATATCACAGTGCGGCTGACGATAGCAAGTTGTGCATGAAAGAAACTTGAGTTTATTTTGCATTTTGCTAACCTGCACGGTAGCTAGCTTAGCTAGCTTGTTTCATTTATCATTCCCCGGTATCATATCATCAATAGCAAACTGCAGGTTTTATTCACCGTTGTGGGGTTAAGACCAAAATATCGCGACTTGGGGAGCTAAGACTATTCTGCTGATGTAGTAATGAGTAATTAGAGATACTTTGGCTAATCGCCCTGATTAACGTCCCTCGCTGACGTCTTTTGTGATTTTTTTTGGAAAAATTTGTTGAACTTCCTGTTTCTGAGGCATTAACAATCATGTAACAAAGACTTTAATTTGAGCAAGTAATGATTACTTGGCCTGTTGTGTTTCATGATGTAAACGCTTGTTTATTTATTTATTAGTTTGTTTTTATTGTATTAACGTATTCTTTTTTTATATCCGTATAATTGTAGGAGACGTAGGAAATTACTACTATGGACAGGGACATCCCATGAAACCTCACCGAATCCGTATGACCCACAACCTGTTACTCAACTATGGCCTGTACAGGAAGATGGAAATCTATGTAAGTATAATGCTTGTACTTGTATTGTTTCTGGTTCAGACCCTCTGTTTGTGCTTTGACTGTTTTGTTTGTCTATGGTGAGTTTGACAATCATGATATGATATTTTTGATTTAACGTGTAAACATTTTTCTTCTCAAAGCGTCCGCACAAAGCCAGTGGAGAAGAGATGACAAAGTATCACAGCGATGACTACATAAAATTTCTGCGTTCTATTCGTCCAGACAACATGTCAGAGTACAGCAAGCAAATGCAGAGATGTAAGTTGACCTGAACACTCTTAATCATATGATTTGAACAGCAGAATTGTTTTGAGGATTGTTTGTATTTTTTGTAGTTAATGTGGGTGAAGATTGTCCAGTCTTTGATGGATTGTTTGAGTTCTGTCAGCTCTCAGGAGGAGGCTCCGTTGGTAAGTTGTTTGTAAGCTTGTCTTTATAATCTTTAAATAATTTATAAATTCAGGGCTATAATACAGTATTTATTTAAATATAGCTGGTGCTGTAAAACTGAATAAGCAGCAAACAGACATCGCCATCAACTGGGCTGGAGGTCTACATCATGCAAAGAAGTCTGAAGCCTCTGGGTTCTGCTACGTCAATGACATTGTCCTTGCCATCTTAGAGTTACTGAAGTAAGAAAAAAGCTAGGGTACATCTGTGCTGCAAATTACACACTCTTAGGCGTATTCTAATGTGAAAATGCTTCTTATGTCTTAAGATATCATCAGAGAGTTCTGTACATTGATATTGATATTCACCATGGTGATGGCGTGGAGGAAGCCTTCTACACAACAGACCGTGTCATGACTGTGTCCTTTCACAAATATGGAGAGTATTTTCCTGGCACAGGTGACCTCAGGGTAAGCTCACAACATTTGCACTTGATGTCAACCACTTTGAACAATATGTAACTCATGCTTTATCTGTAGGACATTGGTGCTGGTAAGGGAAAATATTATGCTGTGAATTACCCACTGAGGGATGGCATTGATGATGAGTCCTATGAAGCCATTTTCAAACCAGTAAGTAAATAAATAACAGTGTTTGATTTATAAACATTTTTGACTGAGACGTTTCGTCTTGCAGATCATGGCCAAGGTGATGGAGATGTACCAGCCCAGTGCAGTGGTCCTGCAATGTGGAGCAGACTCTTTGTCAGGAGACAGACTTGGCTGCTTCAACCTTACAATTAAAGGTTGGTTAATGTCTACATACAACAAAATTATTGTGTCTGGTATTCATTTTGTATATTTAAATTTGTTTTACTTCGTCTTTTATGTTCTCAGGTCATGCCAAGTGTGTGGAGTACATGAAAAGCTTTAACCTCCCATTGCTAATGCTGGGTGGAGGAGGTTACACTATTCGAAATGTGGCACGCTGTTGGACGTATGAGACCGCAGTGGCACTTGATGCTTCTATCCCTAATGGTAAGTCATTTCAAATTTTTACAAGGACCTCACACAGCAGGGTACTTACATGAATTCAACAAACAACTAAGTATGTTTAATTAAGCTGGCATCTTTTGCAGAGCTCCCGTACAATGATTACTTTGAATACTTTGGGCCTGACTTCAAGCTGCACATTAGCCCCTCCAACATGACAAACCAAAATACAAATGATTACTTGGAGAAGATAAAGTTAGTACTAAATGCATGTAATATTTGGATATTTTTTGGATCATCAATCCATTAAAACAATATATTTAATTCTAGGCAGCGTTTATTCGAGAACTTACGCATGCTCCCACACGCCCCTGGAGTACAGATGCAGGCCATTCCAGAAGATGCTGTACAGGAAGACAGTGGAGATGAGGAAGAAGAGGATCCCAACAAACGCATATCAAGTAATACGATTTTATCACCTCTATTTACTATTTGGCTGATCTTTTCGTCTGATATATTATGCAAGTAGGTAGGCCTGTATTTACTGTGCTATGCTTTTGTAGTCCGTGCCCATGATAAGAGGATAGCATGTGAAGAGGAATTCTCTGACTCTGAAGATGAGGGTGAAGGAGGACGCAGAAATGTTGCAAGCTACAAGAAACCCAAGCGACCAAAAACTGAAGGCGAGAAAGAGGGGGAAGAAAAGGAGAAAAAAGGGCAGGAAGAAACAGAAGGTATCAACACTATTGATTTCAACACATCAAAATGGCCCATTATTATCACAGGTGATTGATCTCTATTGTAAATCTTTTGTACCTAAGAAGTCAAAGAAGAAGAGAAGGAGCCAGAGGACGAGAAAATGGACACTTCAAAGTGAGTAAATATTTTTGAAATCTTTTGTGAACAACCAGCTATTTATAATTGTAATTCTTTCATATCTCAGGCCCAAAGAGGAGTCAAAAACACCTTGAAGTCTGGAATAATGTCCAGTTGCAATATTGCAATGTCTTTGGACTTTTTAAAAATGTTTTTTTGTCTCCTTTTATTTTCTGTGCAATTGCACTGGAGAATATATTGGACTGAATCTTTATGTTTACTTGACAGGGATTCAATCCCAGTACAATTTTTGTAGGACTTCTTTAGAACATTTTGGATGCTGATAAAATTGTGTTTTTGTATACTTTCTGTACTTTTTATATCCTTTTTCTTGTGGAACGACTCTGTAAAAATGGTTAGTGTTTATGTACTTTTGTGTATCTTAAGGATTTAAGTTATTTAAATCATAGATGTTTTTTTTTCTCCTTTTGTCACGTGCCTTGTCAATATATAGTAAAGTTGGAAGCATGCTTGTACATGAGACCTAATAAATCCATTTCACATGTCTGGACACAATGACAAGTGTATACATGGTTCTCTTGTTGTATAAAAATATATGCATTATTTTAGGGTAAAGTGTTCTTTTATGGTGTTTTTTTTTTTTTTTTACTTGCGTCTTTACTAAGTCTGTACTGTCAGTTAATAAATGCTATTGGCAATCCTTAAATTGGATTGTGCTGAGGAGTCTTATAGAAAGCAAGACAAGAGTGTGTAAATTGTATATTTCTACTCATTACCTATAAAATGTGTTACATGTGTTTTAGATCTGATAAGTGTTTCAACACCAATTAAAACCATTATTAAAAAAATAATTTGGGCCATTGGAATGAGGGTCTCAAGAGGGCTGTTATCAACATCTTATAATACATAAAAAGTGAAATCATACACTCAACACAATGCATGTAAAATATCACAGCGTAACAGTAAAATCACAAAGATGAGTACTCAAGTGCAGGCATCACATGTAACAGGCTGTTTGTGTCTTTAGACCTGGATATGGCAGTTCTACCTCATTTCATTTTAGCCCGGCATTAGCTCAGAGCCAGTCACTCTGAGCCACTGCAGTATCTCCATCCAGCAGCTCATCTTCTTCTGCAGGCTCCTCTTCAGTCTCTGGAGGAGCTGGAACACTTTCTGCTTTGTGTTGGATTCGAACCTGCAGTTAATATAGACAAGTTGAAAACAAACTCCATTAAAACACAATGTGATAAAAAAGAAATGTAAAAGAAGAAATTCTTACCCGTCTAGCTTGCAGTGGTTTTTTCCTGCATGCACAAAGGTATAGGGACGATGTGCAAACAGCAAAGCAGCGGAAGGCAAAAACTGTTTCCACCACTGACATGACTATCAGAGGTACCCATAGAATGAGTGTGGTTGCCTAAATGTATCAGAAGAAAAGCATACATTAGAAGCTAGAGGGTTTAAACAAAAGTAAATATGCACTTACATATATGCGGGTGGGGTCAAAGGGGCACTCAAATGTGATGCGTGCGGAGTCAATCTCATCAGAAAAATTGCAATGGGTTAGTAGGCTTTTCCCTTTATGAATAATTGCCTGTACTGTGGAGATACTCAAACCAATAGCAGAGGCGATGGCCAAAAGTCCAACTAAAAAGCTGAAGAATAAGAGGACCCACCTCTGAGAAAACAAAAACACAAGGACAACCTAATGTCTATATGTATTTTAATTTTATATCTACGGCACAGAAACATAACACGTTCAAGCATGAGCTGCAAATGATAAGGCACTGTGCCAAAGAGAGGGAAAAAGGCAATTACCAGGATCTTGTTTTTCTTGTTTTTGGACAATACAATGGTTATTATTCCATCAATGATTCCCTGTGGATCATAAGTCATACAAGTACACTTTAAACATATGCATAATTAGTCCACTTATTACATGGAGGCTACTTACAAACAATCCAGCCACTATTGCAATCACATTGGCGATAGCGTACACCATCGTTCGTGCCTGTTCGTGGACATTGATGTGCCTCAACACTGCACCATGGACCAATGCACCAAGAAGGAAGTTTACGTGACCCACAAGAACAAGCCCCAAGCCCATTTTCATCAGGGCTTTGTTGTCCTTGAGGTTGGCACAGCATACTCCTAAAACAAACAAAAACAGAATGATTGACAACTGTGTCTAAGCCTACAAAAGCACTGATTTAAATGGCAAGCAGTCTCAGTGCCATAACAACTGGGAGATAAGGCAGTTACCACCATTGCCTGAGGCCCCTGCAGAGAAGCAAATAGTGGTAAAGAAATCTTATAAATAGCACTCTCTACAAGTGAGCTGATATCTGGAGACTGAGTTGCTGTCATACGTGGGCCACGTGATCCCCACCTAAATGAAAAGGACAATGCTTTGATTGGAATGTACAAACATTACTACTTTGGCTCAGTAGCTTGAGGGGCAGGTTCAGACGGATTCCCCTCACCCGCTTTTTCTCATTGAAAAGTTATTGGTGAAAATAATCAACTTTTGTCGTTTAAAATTCCTATCTTTACACACCTTTAACAAAAATAACACAATAGTCCTACAGATCATGTAGACGGGCACAAGACACCGCCTACTAAAAAGTATAACAAAGCATCTACTACAATGACATGACTATCTCCTCTGCTATCCGTTTACAACAGTCTAGACCACGCCTAAAACTTTGAAAGTCAACATTAGCCATTGTTTTAGAAGCTTGTCGAGACGAAAACAGAATAAAAAATGAACTTACCTAGATAGGGCATGGTGGCAAGAATGTCCCTTTGTGTTATACTATGGTTGCCCTTGTGAATGTCATTTCTAGTTGTTTTTGACAGTGATATTGTTGGACAGAAGTCTTCCGTCACTCCGTTTACCTGCGGTACGGGCGTGCGGACGGCTCTTCCTGCCGCCCACCTGAGGCCAGGCTCCGCCCACAAACCGCACGCTCTTCTACAGAGGTGAGGTGGAATCTGTGGATTTAGTGCCACTCCAAGACTGACTAGAGTACTACAGTAAACTACAGTAACTAAACTAGGACAATGGCATAAATAGACCCTTAAAAGCCTTAATTCCAATTTCTGTTAACGAAGAGGTGAAATTTAATGTGCACTATGTAACATTTTAGGTAGAGAGTTGTAAGAATGAATGTTATACACTATGCAATATACTAGGCCTACTTGAGCAATATAAACACCTGTAATTGAATAAATTCAAACTAGAAAGATTTTATGCCATACTGTGGACCATGCAAAAGCCTTAACATTTCCATGGAGATAAGTAGGAAGCAGACCTGCGACCAAAAAGTTACTTTAGTGCTTTAGGCCTATTAAGGTTGACACAGTTAATTATCTTATAATCCAACAGGTGTCGTTTGCTGCATAACATTCGTGCAATATCCGCAGTTACCACTTATATTTCCCTGAAATATTCAAAATTGCATTTTTTCTCTCACAGAGCAAAGACTAGCCTACTTTTTTTCTTTTTTTCTTTTTTTTTAACCAATTCAGTATTTATCAAGACTTGCTCACAAAGCTGTAAGGCTGTATTGAGTGTTGGACTGGGGGTCTAAGGGCCCGTGATTACATGGACCCTCATGGACCCTTTAATAAAGAACATTTAGTGCGGGTGGCCTCTAAAATAAGATGGTCTCTACTAGAATGCTACGCTCCTGTTGGTGTGTCTACGCTTGGATCAGATGTTACATCCAAAAACTGTTAAATCTAGCAAAAAATTAGATACTGCAGATGTCACAGATGTTATTTTTAAGCTATTCTTTTAAGTTACAGCTACCTATAGGTTTAGATATAGGCAATAATCTCAAAAGACCTTTTGAACTGTCTTAGTTGTGTAAGGTAGTAGTAGTAGTAGTAGTAGTAGTAGTAGTAGTAGTAGTAGTAGTAGTAGTAGTAGTAGTAGTAGTAGTAGTAGTAGTAGTTCAAAAGGGCATGGCGGATTGAACATTTAAGTGAATATATGAGTTAATTTAGGAATATTTTAGTCTTATACGTGAGTATCAAAAATATGCAGTAACAGGCTTTGCATTCTGCACATATGTCGCTGTGGGGAGCTGTGGTGAGTGGTCCGGACACAGAGTGTGCACTCTCATAGCGCATGTTTTTTCCCCTTTGCTTTTAAGTTTGACCCTGGCCACTATTTCCTCCGTAGCGCGCACCGTCTATAAAGAGCCCATGCTTTCCTCACGCAGTCTCTTTCCCTGGCTACAACAACCGTGAGTGTTCAACTCACAGTTCTTGGAAAAACTTAAAGAAAAAATATTATAAAAAATATAAAATTCTTAAAAATCTTTATACAAAAACAAGCTCATATTTGAAACGTCATATTTTAAAAAGAAACCTCTTAAAAAAATAGCAAAATTGTAATTTATAAAAAAAAAAAAAAAAGTCAACGGAATCCTACGCCGAAGTTTCCTTCCCTGAAGGAAGAGCCCTTTGAAGACATTATTTTTGGGATTGTCATTTTTAAGCTTTGGCATTTGTCGAGCTGGGAACAGCTCGAGGCTGCTGCCTGCGAGTGCACACGCTGAGATCGGACGCACGCAGCTCGGACCAACGCTACCCGTTATACTGGCTGGTTCTTTTTTGCCTTTGACGAAAAGGCATTTTTATTAATTCCTTTCTGAGATATGAACACAGCTACGGGAAGTTATCCAATGGCTTCTCTTTACGTTGGCGACCTGCACCCCGACATCACCGAGGCGATGTTGTATGAGAAATTCAGCCCGGCCGGACCCGTGCTCTCCATTCGGGTCTGCAGAGACATGATCACCCGCAGATCCCTGGGATATGCATATGTCAACTTCTCTCAGCCTGCAGACGGTAAGATGGCATCACTGTAGCCAACGATTTGAGCATGTCAGAACACATCAGTAAACCGTGTTTTATCCCATGGGCAGTTTGCACTGTTGATGTCTTTTCTAGTATGGACCTATGTCATTTGGCCCACATGTGACTACTTCCAACTTTTCTGTAGGCTTACTGCCAACCTCGCTTCCTTTAACCTAGGCTGACCCACTTTTCTTGCTAAAAATTGCCAGTGTCTATAACAGCTGCTTTTGTTAAATAAAACCTAGTGACTGGCCCCTAAAACGGCATTGTCCTATAATTGTTCATTATAAATGAGCCTTATACACTATTGACTATTCACATAGTAGCAGCTGTTTTTTATTATCTGTCCAGTGCTTTTTCAGCTTTACAGTGCTATCTAAACATTTGAGCTGTTGTAGCAGGTGTGGTGGTCACTGGTGGCCCTTTGGAGCTTGTATGTGACTTTTATGTCTCTTGTCTTTGCTTAACACCTGTCACAATCTATCCCCTCAACCCAATACAAAATCCACACCAAAGTGGGAAAACAAGGGAAACACAAGACATAGGTGACAAGCCATGAGTGCTGTGTATTTAACTAAGCATGCTGTGATAGGAGCATGGGTCCAGTGTGTACTGTTGCTTAGAGTAAATGCAGGCTATAGTGGAGTTTGGTTGGATGGGATTCCTTTATCCCTGTTGCGTAAACACCCACGAGGTCTGGTGTTACTCATCTGAGCATTCTTGTTTCTAACCCTTCAATGGTGGAGAATGCTCTACTCACTCTCCATGCTGCACATACCTTTCAGGACCCAGACCTAAATTTAGAACTTCTTTTAGTCTTTGATAAATATGCCTGCTTATAATACTTTGTTCATTTAAATCAGTTTTTACTATGTAGTAAACAGTCAAATACATTTCTATATGTATAAAATACCCCAGAATTAGCATGTGTTATAATACTGAAATAGGTTTCAACAGTGATCGCCCACCTTCTGTTAGCAAATGGGTTGTAAAGTACAATTCCATGGCAAACTGCTGATGCCAGCAGACACAAGGCAGCTCTGTTTTGTTTACCAGACACTTTCAGCAGGATAGCCTGGCTGTGTGTCCAATACAGTGAACTAACTGCACAAAGGGATGTTTGGAACATTGGACCCCCAATGATTATGTGGTAATAGAATCATTAGGTTTTAACCTAATTTATTAGGTTAATGTTGAATTAATATAAATTATTCCACTTACACATGTATTTTGAGTAGTGTGGACATGAGGAAAATAACATTAATGCTACACCAATGTTAGATTTGTGCTACTGTGTCCAAGTAATGTTTCTTGTTCATGTGTAAAGATTGTCTAACGGCTGGTGCTGGGCTGCTAGATGGGTCAAGGCCCAGCCGCAGCATGTGGGGAGTCACAGCCCTCTGCAGCTGTCCACTCATTTGTTCACAGAATCACCCACATGGAGTGCAGCACCATTTATACACTTGTTTCAGACCCTCAGAAATTTGAAGTTTAGCTGTAGTTTTGTTGTAAACATTTCACCTGACCTCTCTGCCATTCCTCCCCTATCACTTACCAGCCGAGAGAGCTCTGGACACCATGAACTTTGACGTTGTAAAAGGAAAGCCAATCAGAATCATGTGGTCCCAAAGAGACCCCTCCCTCAGGAAATCTGGAGTGGGCAACGTGTTTATCAAAAACCTTGACAAGTCGATTGACAACAAAGCCCTGTACGACACCTTCTCTGCTTTTGGAAACATTCTCTCCTGCAAGGTACAGCAAATTCACAATATATATTACACTGTAATAATACATTATAGATTTATATTAAGTCAGCTATAGGCCTAAAACATGCGCACAAAATGCGTTTTTATAGTATAAAATTTTACTTATCTCTACCTCTGCTCAGGTGGTGTGTGATGAGAACGGCTCCAAAGGTTATGCGTTTGTTCATTTTGAGACGCAGGATGCAGCTGACAGAGCCATTGAGAAGATGAATGGCATGCTCCTGAATGACCGCAAGGTGTGAGTGTCTAGTCATAGGAGCTCCTCAACATCATTATAATTAAACTACATTTTAAGACATACATTTATATTGATATTCTTTTATGTAGCTGTATGTACATGTAACTGTTGTCAATATTGTCAAATTGTTATGCTTGGTGTTGAAATTAATTTTATCTTGTTTGGGTGTGTGTGAATAACCAAACTAATATGTTCACCTCTGATCATAAGTGAAGATAACATCTTACTTACTGTGCATTAGCGTACCTGCTGCTCTTTCTGTTGCACCATTTTTCTCACTTTCTGGCCACACGTGTTAAGTGCCTGCGTGTGTGTGTGTGTGTGTGACCAAGATTGTTTGTTTTAGTGATGGATCGAATGCAGGATACATAACGGGATGGCCGAGGGAACAAGGTCCACATAGCAAGGTATATAAGATCATTTGGTCCTCCTCAGCTTTCCCTTTGTACTGTGAGACTCCTCCATCCGCCTGCGTATATATCAAGTTTTGGACCAAGATGTTTGATGGCTGTCATGGTGTTTTGTGTCAAGCATGCCAACGCATTTTGCCTGCTTCTGGTGGTATTCACAGCAACTAAATTGATTTGGTTTTGCCATAAGAATGAGAAGTCATAATGTAGGTCATAAGTCTGCATCATTTGTACCTGGAAATCTGGATACAATTGTCAGACCAGTTAAAATGTAAAAAGGATCATCTGTCTAGGACTATAATATAATATTTTACCTCTCTTTGCCTTTATTCAGGTTTGTGGGTCGTTTCAAATCCAGAAAAGAACGAGAAGCTGAACTTGGAGCCAAAGCCAAAGAGTTTACCAATGTGTACATTAAAAACTTTGGGGACGACATGGATGATGACAGACTCAAAGAGCTCTTTGATAAATATGGTAAACTAATATATATTATAATAAAACTTTAATCAAATTAAATGTATTAATGACCATGCAAACTCTTGAAGGTAAAACACTCAGTGTCAAAGTAATGACCGATCCGTCTGGCAAATCCAGAGGCTTTGGCTTTGTCAGTTATGAGAAACATGAGGATGCCAACAAGGTACATTGCTTCTTTAGTACCTTCCAATTTGATCTGTCAAAATTTGTAACATTGTTATTTGCCCAAGGCTGTTGAAGACATGAATGGCACCGAGCTCAACGGCAAAACTGTGTTTGTGGGTCGCGCTCAGAAGAAGATGGAGAGGCAGGCAGAACTGAAGAGAAAATTTGAGATGCTGAAGCAAGAGCGGATTAGCCGATATCAGGTCTGAAAGCCCAAGCCTCTGTATTCATATTTTATTATGTAATAGTTCTGTATGTCATTACTATATTTGTTTTAGGGAGTAAACCTTTACATCAAAAACCTGGATGACACAATAGATGATGAAAAATTGCGCAAGGAATTTTCTCCTTTTGGATCCATCACAAGTGCAAAGGTATGACAGATTACTTTAAATGATCAGATAGTATCTCCGATGCAAAGGAGCCCATACACTAACTTCTCTGTGTTGGTAGGTGATGCTGGAGGAGGGACGCTCAAAAGGTTTCGGCTTTGTCTGCTTCTCCTCCCCGGAGGAGGCCACTAAAGCGGTGACAGAAATGAATGGACGTATAGTAGGCTCTAAACCTCTGTATGTGGCCCTGGCCCAGCGTAAAGAAGAACGCAAAGCCCATCTCACTAATCAGTACATGCAGCGGATTGCAGGAATGCGGGCCATGCCCGCTAATGCCATCATTAACCAGTTCCAGCCGACCAGTGGCTACTTCATGCCAGCTGTGCCACAGGTGAGATGATGTTTAATCTGAACCACTTTTAAATTCAGACGTGTTTTAGTTTCTTCATGTTTGAGGATACCTTTATTTCATTTTCAGGCCCAGAATCGAACCACATACTATGCGCCCAATCAGCTGGCTCAAATGAGACCTAACCCTCGGTGGCAGCAGCAGGGTGGTAGAGGTCAAGGTAAATTGTGATACATACTGCTACAGTTCAGATTTAATTAAACAATACACTTTAATGCAATAGCTGTGATTTTAATTATCTGACCCACAGGTGGGTTCCAGGGCATTCCAAACTCTCTGCGTCAGCCAGGACCACGAGCTAACCTCAGACACATGAGTCCTGGTAGCAGCGGCCAGGGCCCAAGAGGTCAGTTTGTCCACAACAATTGCCTATAAGAGAAACTATTTAAAAAAAACTATCAATCCAGGGAGAGAGTTTCTCAGTGGCAGTGTTAGGAAGAGTAAACAAATACGAAATACCTTGCAACATGCCAACACTACTTAGTGGTTAGAGTACTTGTTCGACCCAGTCAATGGTCGTGGTTCGAACCCTGCTCTGTCTGGCTGTCTTGATTCTGTCAGTCTACCCCAGGGCAGCTGTTGCTACAGTTGTAGGAGTATGGAGTGAAAGAAAAGTGCAAATACAAAACTGTAAAATCACTTATAGGGTATAGAATAGCACTACATAAATCAATGCATTATGATTATGTGTAGGCTGTTTAACTCTATTCATTTTATATACATTGTGTAATTTATTACAATTTTCTTCTTGTTGTTTAGCCACCGGCCAGGCAATGGCTACTCGCCCTTCAGTGGGGGTTGCTGGTCCTAGAGCAATTCCTCCATACAAGTATGCTACTGGTGTTCGTAATCCTAACCCACAGGTTGTTCAGCCGATTCCATTGCAGCAGGTATGTAATAAAAGACTGCACATTATTGCTGGATTTCAGAAAACATCACATTAGGTCCATAAAATTTAATATAGATCTACTAGATTTTTACTGAAATATCCAATCAGACTTTATTTGTAAAGTAGTATAAAGTTTTATGCAAAAATATAGCACAAAGTGCTTCATTAAAGAGCAATCTCACATGCCCTTCCACCCAAGTACCCTACCCCCACAACTGCCTGACCCCACACAATCATACAACCACACACAGACACAGTCTCACCCACATGAGTACAGAATACAGTTCTCAGGTCTGCTCACTAATATAAATTATCAGTTTTAACACGTGAATTTACTTTTTAAATATTTTTAATGTGAGAATACCAAGTAATCAAAAGATACGACCCCCTTGAAACCACCAATACAGTTATTACACATTATGTTTTACTGTTGTGCTCCAGCCTCAACCTGCTGTGCACGTCCAGGGCCAGGAGCCTCTCACCGCTTCTATGCTGGCAGCTGCACCTCCACAGGAGCAAAAGCAGATGCTAGGTAAAAAGGCACATATTTGGAAAGAGAGGAATGGTGGCTTTCATAATTATAATCAATATTGTTTTCTTTGGCAGGAGAGCGCCTTTTTCCACTGATTCAGGCCATGCATGCCAACCTGGCTGGAAAGATCACTGGCATGTTGCTGGAGATTGACAACTCTGAGCTGCTACATATGCTGGAGTCTCATGAATCTCTGCGTTCAAAGGTAACCAATGTAAACATGTCCGACTTACAGCGCTGGCTGTATGTGAAATAAATGAATTAATGTGATGAGTAGGTTATGTTTAATAATATTATGCCCTTTTTCTAGGTGGAGGAAGCTGTGGCCGTCCTGCAGGCACACCAGGCCAAGAAAGATGCCACTCAGAAAGTTGGTGGCATGGCTCCTTCTGCCTCTGCTCCCTCCTCCTAAAATAAATGCTGGAAGTCTTCTAATTTAAAAAAAAAAAAAAAGTAATTATAAAAATATAAAAATACAGACACAGGTTTGTAATTGTAACTTAGATAAATATTGTAAAAATAAAAAGTGAAAATGATCTGAGGCCAAGGAGAGACACATTTTTATGAAAATGAAGCCTGCTCTTTGCTTAGCTTCAAAATGTAATAATTAATTTTAAGTGACTGACACCATGTTTTCTTTGACATGCTGTAAGCCCATTCGAAATAAAGTGAAGATGTTAGGTAAATGTGTTGTTGTTTTATTTGTTTTTTTTTTCATTTTACCTGCTTGTCAATTCCTGATCTTGTGTTGAAAGCTAATCAAAGTGTGGATTGATTAGTACTTGAATGAGAGACTGCTGGGAATACTTGGTGCCACAGTGGACTTGCAGTGACTCTAACCTTGGGCAAAACAACCACTTTGCCTTGTGTTAAACTGGTATGTCTTGATTGGTGGAGATTGGCAGCCTTTCTACTATCAGTCTACCCTAGGGCAGCTGTAGCTATAATAGCAGGCTGAGTGAATGAATCTTGCACTGTAAAAGCGCTTTGCGTGTCTTGCATAATAAGAACATGACCACACATTAAATTAAGTCTAGTAGAAGGTGAAAGCATGTAAATAGCCATTCGTCCAGCAGGTGGCGTAGTAGCTCATGAGTAATAAGGGGCGGAGCAGAGGGTGGGCCTCTCCTGAGCCTGAACCAATGGAAATCAGCTGAGGTCACAGTTCAGAGGTCAAATCAAATATGGCTACCAACAAACGAGTGTTGTATGTTGGTAAGTTGTTTTTAATTTTGAGTTTTTCCACTATGTTGTGATGTTTTTTACTCAAACAATGGCTTCGGTTTGAGTATGTTTACGCGCACTTATTTGTATTGCGTTGAACCGAGTTAGAAAGTGTGTAGATGTGTAGTTACCATCATGTGTGTTTTGAATGGCCCGGGTAAAAAATAAAAAAAGCATTGTGATGCCCACCACATCTTAACTGAAGACCCAAAGGCTACAAATAATACACTGTTTATTATACTTATTGTTAAGGTGGCCTGGCAGAAGAAGTGGACGAGAAGGTGTTACACGCAGCTTTTATTCCTTTTGGAGACATTGTAGACATTCAAGTTCCTTTAGACTATGAAACAGGTGAGTTTTTCAAAATGCATTTCAGTTGTCCACATATTAACGACACTGATCTTCTCACTATTTTGATACTTTACAGAAAAACACAGAGGATTTGCATTTATTGAGTTTGAATTGGCAGAGGCAAGTGGAGTTTGTCATCTTAACCTGTGTGCCATTGCATGTTAGAATACCTTAATAAACCTCCAAGACAAAATGCTGAACTTAATAATGTTTGTTAATGTGTTTAGGATGCAGCAGCTGCTATTGATAACATGGTAAGCTTATTGGAATATTAAGTGAGTGAGTATTCAGGTGCAGTTATGATATTATACTGTGTCACATTATTGAACAGAATGAGTCTGAGCTTTTTGGTCGGACAATAAGGGTCAACATCGCCCGACCAATGCGAATCAAAGAAGGCTCGTCTCGGCCAGGTGCTGTAGTTTATAGTGTCCTTGCAAATTAATCTTCCAATATAATTAGAAAGTGTTCTTAATATGTTTTTGAATTTGATACAGTGTGGTCCGATGACGACTGGCTGAAGAAGTTTTCAGGCAAAACAATAGAAGAGGCTGAGGCTGAAGCAGCAAGCACTGGAGAGTCTGCCAACACCACCAAACAGGAGGTGAGATTATTATTCACATTTGTTGAATTTATTTACAATTTGTAAATACGTACTCGACTTGATGATTCTTGTTATTTTTGAAGGCTGAACCACCGGCAAAGAAGGGGAGAGTAAATCCTCAAGTTTATATGGATATCAAGATCGGTAACAAGCAAGCAGGAAGGTTACGGTTTCTTCTGCGTGCTGACATTGTCCCTATGACAGCAGGTATGTGTCTCTTTGTAACAGGAGTTACATTAGTTATTAATTAGTTAAAACATTCTTTAAAGCATTAATTCACAAAAGCAGATTACATCCTAATCTAAATGTAATATCAGGTAAAGTCGAGTAGATTTGTTCAAAGAGAAATGGTGTTTTATTGCAATTAAATACATTCAGTTTTTAAGGGTTAGGGTGTAGTACAAACTTCATATTGTTAATTATTATTATTATTATTTGTTAAACTTCAATTGTTTTTGCAGAAAACTTCCGGTGTCTGTGTACTCATGAAAAGGGCTTTGGCTTCAAAGGCAGCAGTTTCCACCGTATCATCCCTCAGTTCATGTGCCAGGGTGGTGACTTCACCAACCACAACGGCACTGGTGGCAAATCCATCTATGGAAAAAAGTTTGAAGACGAAAACTTTGTCCTGAAACACACCGGCCCAGGTAAGACATATTTAAGTGCATTCTATACAAATCCTATTTTATTTATTTATCTATTTATTTACTGTCTCTCCTCTGGTTTTAGGGCAGCTCTCCATGGCCAACTCTGGGCCAAACACAAACGGATCACAGTTCTTCATCACAACTGACAAAACAGACTGGCTGGATGGAAAACATGTTGTTTTTGGTGAACTAGTGGAAGGCATGGATGTAGTTCGAGCAATGGAGGTGAGTTAAATCCATTTGGTGCTCAGTGACAAACTCTATGGTATGGGCTTTGCTGTGAGGGGTGATGTTTATTTACCCCACAAAAAGTAAAGCAAAATTATGTGCTGCACTGAGAAATCTGGACCACATTATTAAATAAGTGTGTGTGTGTATGTGTGTATATATATATTATATATATATATATATATATATATATATATATGTATAATGTATGTGTGTGTGTGTGTGTGTGTGTGTGTGTGTGTGTGTGTGTATATAAAATGTTCTTCTGGAAGTCTAACAAAATATTAATCCATTTAGTGCACATCTTGAAACTCTGTTGTATTTTACAGGCACAGGGAACAAAAGATGGCAAGCCAAAGCAGAAAGTGATTATCTCAGACTGTGGTGAATATGTGTGACCCTGACAAGCTGACAAAGCTGTGCACTGCTTTTGAACCGTGTAGATATTTCAATAAAACATTTTTATATCAAATGAACCAGCCTGTGTGACGTTTTGTTCTGAATTATAATTTATATATATATATATATATAAATGTCGAAGTAACAAAGCACTACTTCGACATTAGCTATATTAGCCTCATATTTTACCCCACTTCATATCAATTTTTTATTAAATGAAAAGAGAAAAAAACTACATATCAACCAATGTTTATCACTATGTTTTAACGCACAGGCAAAACCACCCGAGTAATGCGTTCAGATAATTGTTTGTTTCTACCTAAAAACTACTGAGTCGAAGCACGTAGTCTACTCGTCTCTTTTTTGGCGAAAAATATTTTGAGAAGTTGAGCGGTTTGCCACACCTGAGCAGGTCGAGACTCCATAGACATGGCAGACTAGAACTCCACCCCCTACTCCCCAGTTCAGTAGATTTTCATTTGTGTGAGAGATTCATCTAGCGTGTTTCTCCGCTTCGACACGGAACCGACATTTAAAACCGAAAACTGTAAGTGATGCTAAACTGACTTTGTATCTGATCTCTTTAGGACGACGTTGTAACTTTTGGTTACTGAGTTCGAGTGTTAAGTTGTGCGTAATTACGCGCGGACTGTACGGCTTTGGTACGGCGATCTAAATCACTACCATTTTTTAAGAACAGTTCCAGTACAATGTCAAGTATTTATCTCTGCTATTTTCCCCGCCCAACTATTTACGCCAAGTTAAACCACGTAAAAGATAAATGGTTTTCATTCTTTCTTAAATGTTTTTCCCATTCCAGTGTGTAATGTTTTGTCTTTCGTGTTGTTTTGGCAGATATCAGACATCCGTTAGTGCTATTGCTGTTGAGAAGTCTCGCGCTGTGTCCCAACAGCAAGAGAGTAAACTGCTGTGAAAAAATCCATCATGAACTGGGCATTTCTGCAGGGTCTCCTCAGTGGAGTGAACAAATATTCCACAGCCTTTGGCCGTGTATGGCTCTCCGTCGTCTTCCTCTTCAGGGTCATGGTGTTTGTGGTGGCAGCAGAGAAGGTTTGGGGGGATGAGCAAAAGGACTTTAAATGCAACACGGCTCAGCCTGGCTGTCACAACGTCTGCTATGACCACTTCTTCCCCGTGTCTCATGTGCGTCTGTGGGCTCTGCAGCTCATCTTTGTCACCTGCCCATCACTGCTAGTGGTCATGCATGTGGCCTACAGAGAGGATAGAGAGCGTAAAAACAGAGAGAAATATGGAGAGAACTGCCGCAAACTTTACCAGAACACCGGGAAGAAGCGTGGTGGCCTTTGGTGGACTTATGTTCTAACCCTTGTTTTTAAAATAGGAGTGGATGCCACCTTTGTGTACCTCCTCTACCACATCTACGAGGGCTACGACTTCCCTAACCTCATAAAGTGCAAACAGGCCCCCTGTCCAAACACAGTGGACTGCTTCATTGCACGTCCCACAGAAAAGAGAATCTTCACCATTTTCATGGTGGCCACCAGCCTGGCATGTATCGTCCTCTCAGTATTTGAAATCCTCTATCTAGTGGGCAAACGCTTTCGAGAATGCTTCACTGGACAGAAACGCTCTCGACGTGCCTTGACAGACACCATTTCCAGTGGAAGCACTCTTATGGAGGGCAACAATTTAAAATCTCCCACTCCAAAGACCCCTGTTCCTTCATACAACATGGAAATGGCTAATGACAATATTTTAAAAGGAAAGTACATTGTAATAAACTAGAAGAACTCTAAAAGGCTGTTGTCTTCCAAACTACAAAGGAGGAAGGTCCTTCCTGTGCTGAGACAATGAACTGGAACATTTGAACAGCAAGAGCAGTGGCGCCATGCAATAAATGTTGTGCTTGGCACACTGTCTAATAACTCAGGAATGCTGTATATTACTGTTTTGTATCATCAAAATACAAAGTCAGTTTGAATTCAGATCCTTTACTTGACTCAGACTTTGTACAAACAAAATGTGGTTTTCTGTATAAGATATTCCCTTCCTTTGGTGCCCACCATCCAGACGTTTTAGACTCCACCGTGGCGCTTTGCTCTGAGGACAGTGAGAAGTTGCTCTTGTATATATTGTCATTTAATTAACATAATTTAAACCAGAAAGGTTGTGCTGCTATACAAGTTGTGGTATAAATGTTTAAACAGGTAGAAAAGAGAGAGTGATGAGGTTGCAGAGTACTTTTATAAACACATTTGTTCATGTTGTATATATTGGACGCAACAGAAATGCAAGCCTAGATGTGCTTGTAACTATTTTGTTTAAATAAACATTTTTGTAAAGATTTGTGTTGTTGGAGATAATTAAATGTGAATACAATCCTAAAAAACAGAAGTCTTCTTGTGTTCATGGATTTCACAACTGCATGTGACACTTCATTTTTTCCGTGTGTTTCATAAACCCCTCCCTACTTCAGGCAGATTTTTCTGTTGCTAGGAGCAGCAACCTCAAATGTTTGGCTTGACTGGTAATTTTGGAGTGGAGTACGAGGAGGAGTCATTCTTTTCTCTTCTTTTGATTCATCCGCATTGACGTGTGGTCCCACCCTGAGCAGGAATTCTTCAGTCCATTCTGTTGAAATGTGTGCGATAAGGAAGATGAAGTGTTACAAAACAACAAAAAGACAGAAAAACACACAATCCCAGGCTGAAAAACTGATTTAAGTTGTTCACTAAAGTTTTCTAAGACTTGGGAGTTGAGTTAAGGAGTTATGGTTTTGGCATGGCTTTGCTTTGCCCTGCAGATGACTCATAGTCAAAAGACTTCTTAAGGCCCTCTCCAGTGGTACTTTTACTGGCATTCATTGGACCAATATAGAGAATTAACAAGACTGTGAATCATCACACTAACATAGCCACTGTTTTTACTTTTTTACTTCTTCACATTTAGTTCTATTGTTTGAAATTGGCAGATTTTAATGATATACCCACTATATATATAATAGGTAAATTGAATTTACTACACTATAGGTCTGGTATGTGACTGTTTCTTTCCTGTATGGGCGGTTCTGTAAACACAATAATGGCCCTCATTTGCTGAGCCCATATCCGGGGGTCTTATTTCACTTTCTAGCATCAGTACATTTCTTTTCTCTTACATTAGACATATTGAGAAGTGATGTGTTTATCGAGTTGTGTGGATGCTTCTTGTTGTGACTTGCAGCTGACAGGTCGCTGACTCATGCACACATTCTTCAGGTGTGTCTCGGCCAACAGCCTGGACCAGTTCTGCTCATCAAGGCACTTCCTTCACAATAGGGTATAGTTTCTATGCTTGCATTGATGTTAACATGCTATGTGCCACTCACATCCCACAACAGCAGAGCCTTCCATGAAATGTCATGATCTATGTGTTTACTGTCTGTTTGTTGCTATAGTCAGTATACTATACATCTATAATAATAAATATGAAATTAATTAATTAATTGAAGGGCTAGGAATTAATACAGATACAATATATGCTCTATTGTATGAATGTTTTGTGCCATTATGTAGCCACTGGTTTTTAGGTGACCTTTCTAGAAAAGTGCCCTATGTCTGTTCCTGGACATAAGCCGTTAAAGCAGTTATTCAGATACTGACAATACAGACATGACATGACACGACTGGAGATTACTCCCAGTACAATCAATGTTTACAGGGATTTTATTCTCCAAGCTCAAAACAAAAGAACTCCAAAGCTCTGCACGCATGCAGCAGCCTGCAACCAATGGCATGCTTGGGCACAGCATTGGCATTTCCTACCCAAACAGATATCTGATCCTTCTTTTAACAACCTATAAGAGACTAAGACTGAGAAGAGAACTAAGGAGAGTGGATGAACATGCATTTTGTTTAAGTGACTTTGTTAAGGAATAGTTTTCTCTGACAGAATAGAGGACGTTATTTGAGTTGAGTCAGTTTGAAAAGGTAAAATGAAATGGTATACTCCTTCCTATTGTAGTGGACAATAACTATATTCTGTAACAATACATTAATGTAATATAATCACATATTTGCACCAGCTTGTGAGATAGCCAGGATGTGTGTAGCATATCTAGCCTATATTAAACACTTAGAATAGGCATAATATTTAAGCATTTCTTTCTTGCACAAAAGCTTCAGAGAATCTGTATTGCAACTGGGGAAGATTCCTCAAAACGTAATCACCTGAGGGCTACAAGGTACTGAGAAACAATGAGGATAAACATTCATGTTCTAGGAAATATGGAGCACAAAATAGTTGGGATTTTCTGTCTTTTTTATTAGTCCTATTCGTTTGAGCGTGTTAAACTGAGCACCGAGGGTCGTCCTCAAAATACTTTAAAGTAACGTGATTTCTAACAGTTTGTCCACATAACAGTGGCGTCTGAGAGAAAAAAAAGAAGACTTGGGAAAGAGAGGGAGGTGCGTCATGAAGGAAGAGAGAGAGAGACAGCAGAGCCACATCTGGCAAACTCTCGTCTTACTTTAACCACACCTACAGGCGCATTTGTTCGCACGGAGCGCTCTACCTGTCGAAAGTAAACGATTTGGTGGGTGAAATTACCCAAACGGCGAGAGAAGAGCTATAAACGGGTACTAAAATTTGAGTTTAGTCGCTTACGATGGATTAGGAGTCACTTGGTAAGTAACTCTCGACTCGAGTCACTTTGATGGGTGTCCCACGCAGTCATTTACTCTGATATGTTGCGTACAATTGCCTAAACAATTGTGTTGAAATGTAGACTACATAAGAGACTTAACATAATCTAATAGAGTTAGACGACCAAAAACGAAATGGTCAACAAAGGATAAGAATCCTTTTGTACAGCATTGCTTAAGAAATATCCTATAAATTGTTCAAAGTCTGTGTTCAGGTTTGTGTTTGGCGCACCTAAGTCTTTAGTCCATCACCACATCTGAAACATCTGACACAGATTTGAAAGGGTTATCATTTACAGAACTTATAGCGTTGTGTTTTACTCTGTTAAAAATTAGTCTTAGGCCTAAAGCCTACACATAAGCCATTTTTACGTTTTTGTTGTCGTCAGTTTAGTTTAGTATTTAGTAGCAGCAACAACATAGAATATCTCAGGTTGAACACAAATACTAGGTAATATGTGAAAGTCATGTACTGCATAAAGTCACTTTGCAATGCCTTTGTCAATTACAGATTCAACGTACATAAGGAAGAAAGGAAATCCAAGTTTGAGTGTGTGCTACGATCATGGACTGGAAGACCTTCCAGGCCCTGCTCAGTGGGGTGAATAAGTATTCCACAGCGTTCGGCCGAGTGTGGCTGTCTGTGGTGTTTGTGTTCAGGGTCATGGTCTATGTAGTGGCCGCAGAGAGAGTGTGGGGTGATGAGCAGAAGGACTTTGACTGTAATACCAAGCAGCCTGGCTGTGCCAATGTTTGCTACGACTTCTTCTTCCCCATCTCTCACATCCGCCTGTGGGCGCTGCAACTCATCTTTGTCACCTGCCCGTCCTTCATGGTGGTCATGCATGTGGCATACCGGGATGACAGAGAGCGCAAGCACAGGGCCAAGCATGGGGAAGATGCCAAGCTCTACAACAACACAGGCAAAAAGCACGGAGGGCTGTGGTGGACTTACCTGATCAGCCTCTTTGTGAAGACTGGCATCGAGGTGGCTTTCCTCTACATTCTCCACAAAGTGTATGACAGTTTCTACCTACCTCGGCTTGTCAAATGTGAGGTGTCACCCTGTCCAAATCAGGTGGACTGCTACATCGGACATCCTACTGAAAAGAAAGTCTTCACCTACTTCATGGTTGGAGCTTCAGCCCTTTGCATCATCCTCAACATCTGTGAGATAATTTATCTCATATCCAAAAGAATCGCCAGATGTGCCAACAAAGTGAAAAGACGACATCAATGCATGGTGGTGCCTGAGCAAGACTTCAATGAAGACAATTTCTTCAACCAAAGCACTCTCCCTGCATCCCAGCAAGGCCTGAAAGACTTTAAGGACAGACCCCCTTCATTTAGATCTGTAACCAAGTCGTCAGTGCACAAACTCAGGCTAGAGGATAAAGTACACGCCTCTGCTCCTAACCTGTCAATCTCTTAACGATGGGAGAGCAGACTTGCTAAAGAAAGATATGTCATCTCAGAAAAGAGGGTGAAATCTCAGGATAAACTATAGCACATGTCAAAGTTGACATGTAGTTATAATGCAGACACGAACGTTTTCATGGCAATATAAACAATACTTACTCCAAATCAGCTCAGTAAGATTTTTTTTTTTTAAGTGTAGAGTTCCTTTGACAGATCTTCATTCCATTTACAACATTCCTGTTTAGTGTATTTGTTCTTTCTCTTGTATTTACCATGAAAGAAGAGAACTATTCTACAAGAAAGCAAGGCACACCTGGCTGAAGTATTGAGCCTCGATGCTATTGCCTACTCTTTCCCCAGCATTATCTATTACAGATATTTTTGTCCTAATAATGACAAAAAATATATATTTGTGCATCAACACAGTATTACTTGAAGCAGGTATGGTATTGTATTGAGTGGTAATCACTCATCACTTGTATTTCTTCAATCCTTGGCTAGAACATGGAAACTTTCTGCTGATTTGAATGAGGAAAAAATGCTGCTGCTGAATCCTTGACTAGAAAACTGGACTAAGAAAACCAAAGGAACAAGGAGGTGATTTCCTCAAAGCCTTAAATACACATGACCAGAAATATGTTTGTTTATATAAATGTAAATATAATAAAATTATTGATTTTTCTATCAGATGTTAAGATTTGTTTGGTCCCTCAACTCATTTGCACAAAGACTAATGTAAAGACTTATTATCACACATACAAGCCTCAAAATAACTTTAGAAGAAATTAGTTGTTAGTCATAATGACTTTAATGTATCTAGCTCATAAGATGCTTGTACAATAAAGGTGTGTGAGTAAGAATCTCAGTCTGCTTGCCTGACCTGTCAGTCAGGTTTTATATAAGGTGCGGCAGGCCGAGCACTTTTTGTTTATTCTGTTATTGTTACAATCTGTCCATAGAAAAATCGAGAATTAAAAATTTAGTTTTATGAAGACTGTGGCAGTTAAATACAGTATTAAACAATGTTTATGAAAAAGTACTAAAAGTACAAACATGATTTTAGGGTACTGAGACATATGTCAAAGCATATTAACTGACACGTCATTTATAACTGACATGTAAATTTACAACCTGATGTCATTTGTCAAGCATTTCAAAATAAATAGTGAAAATGTACAAGAAATTTCTAGACATACAAAGGCAATACTAAAGAGAATATAGCTGGTAATATAATATAAAACTGAATCAACAGATGGTGTGCAACTAACCTGGAAGAAATGCTTGCTTTAATGCCAACAATAAACATAAAATCATTATTAGGCTAAAGTATTGCCTCTGCCCAGAATAGTGTTGAAAATCAGGCTGATGATAAGGCACTCTTCCAGCTTTCCCATCGTGCAGTAATTACTTTTAAAGTAAATTGTATCTGTGTTCAGCGTTGTGCATTTGGTGCACTTCAGTCCAGTGTCCAGTGCTTTGCTATCAAACCTATAATTTGCAGGTGGCTTGAGCAACTTTAGAATTAGACTTTTTGTTCAGAGTACGACAGATGAAGGCTCCAGCATCCATTAACTTGGACATGTTCACTCCCTGAGATAAAGAAATGTGTCAAAACATTTATAACACATGTTTCCATGTTACATTACATAGACATTACTTACTGTGTGAATGCCAAGCCCATGGAGCATGTAGACAACATCTTCTGTAGCAACATTTCCTGATGCACCTTGGGCATAGGGACACCCACCAAGTCCAGCTACTGAAGAATCTACAACATGAACCCCCATCTGACAGACAAACAGAGATGACCGCGCTACCTTACACACTTCATGATACTATTAAAACAATCATCAAACGATTGTACCTGTAAAGCCACCAGAATGTTAGCCAGAGCCTGTCCATATGTGTCATGACAGTGCACCGCCAATGCACTGACTGGCACATCTTTAGTCACTGCTTCCAACATCTGACTCATAGAACCTGGAGTCCCCACTCCGATTGTGTCGCCTAATGAGATCTCATAGCACCCCATATCATAGAGACGCTTTGCTACCTGGATGAAAGAGACAAATTCTCAAATTGTACTGAAATGAAACATGTAATATTTACCATATCCAAAAACCTACATAAGCAACTTTCTCAGGTGCCACCTTGCCTTCATAAGGACATCCAAGGACACATGATACGTAACTGTAGAGACACAACGCTTTTAGAGATCTATGGAAAATGATCTGTGTGTAATGAAGACGAAAGCACCACCTTACCCTCTCACTGGTACACTGGCCTCTTTTGCCGCTTTCATAACCTCATCAAATCGCTGTAAACTCTCATCCACAGAGCAATTGATGTTCTTCTTACTAAATAGCTCTGATGCAGCACCAAATATGGCTACTTCTGAAGCACCAGCCTTCATCTGTTCAACACAACAATAAAATGCACTTTGATTATTTATTTGAACCAATTATTGAGGTTGATGTTGGTCATGGGACCTACAGCGGCCTGGAACCCTTTGAGATTTGGTGTAAGAACTGGATACGTCACTCCTGGTTTTCGACAGATTCCTTTCATTACTTCCATTTGATCAGCCATCTGCAAATGAGACAAATAAAATAATAACAAAGTTGTTTTCCCATTGCCATTGTTTAAGTAATGAAGCACAAAGAAATCAAATACCTGAGGTACCCATTTGGGAGAAACAAAACTGGTGGCTTCAATCACAGAAAGCCCTGCTTCTGACAGCATGTCAATCAAGTGAATCTTAGTTTCCGTGGGCACAATGGTCTATGTAAAAGCATAAAATAAAATAATTATAAAACCACAAAATACTTATGCATGACCTTTAGACCACCTATTAAGCAAAGAAGACGTAAACTACAAGAATCACTCTAGCCTGTTTTATAGGCAGAGGTGGCTAGTACACAGTAACATTTTTAGCCATCTTTAAATTAAATTGTAAACCTACTTCTTGGAGTAATTTCGACCCCATCACACTTGAGTGATATCCATCTGGAGTTTGCAGATTAATCCAAAATCAACCAGATCCAAAACTGTAAGTCTACTGTACCTGACAGTGCAACATCACTCTGACATTAAAGGCTACTTGAGGAAAAGTTTGGTTACCTTTTCCACTTTGAAAATAAAAAACAAACAAACAAACAAAACAAAACATGGTAGATTACCTTTTCATTTTGAAGCCCATCTCTTGGTCCCACTTCCACTATTTTCACTTTTTCTGGAAGAACCTGACAAGCACTAACGCCAGCCTAAACAAACACATAACACAATCACAATATCATGTAACAACTATGTAACAACATGAGAACATTTTAAGTCTGAAGTCTGCTGGTGACGACTGACGTGACGGACAGGCCTAATCTCTTCTAGCACATTTACATTTTGCAGACAGTCTCTGGTTTGAGCACAACAAATCAATAATAAAACTACTCACCGTACTGACTTTTGCAGCGGCGCTCAACGCTAAAAATTGTTGTCCCATAAATGACTTTAAAGTGCTTCTGTTGACAAGCTTCATGATGGCAGCCGCCATGTTGGACCAGCCTCCCTTCTGCCGTCACTGCTCAACGAAACAACACAAGACAAGAGTGACGCCTACTGGTCAGAAGCTGAAAAGGCAAATTATACGAATAAAAATGTCACAGATGGGTAGATTACTATAGTTAAACTCAATAATATACTACTCAAGTAAGTCTGGTATCATAAAAATACTCTGAGAAGTATTTGTTTCAAAAAGATAGGCTAAATATAGCCCTTAGTGAGTAAAATCCTTAGTACTACTGCCTGAGTTTATTTAACAAATCCCTCTTGAGCTATCCTTACCTGACTTTATGAATTGTTGCTATATGAAAATGTTATTACAGCTATATCTGTGGAGCATCCACAAAGTCTCTCCACAAATATAAAATAAATACTTTCACACTGTATAAATATATACAAAATAGTTTAATCAAAAGTAAAAAATGAAATAAATTATATATCATAGTGCATATAATAAAAAAAGAACTTTACACATGATCTCACAGGCATGAGAATGTACACATTCATTTTTAGTATCAATTCAACAAAGGTGTTTCATGCTTATAAATTTAGCTCTTGAGTTAAATTACGTACTGTACATTTGATGTGCATGCTTTGGATATTGCAGTTTATACAATTGTTACAATTGTGAACAAAATTCACAGAAGACACAAAAGCCTTCAGAAAACAATACAAGGTGAGTTATTATCTGTTTCAGCATGTGAAAAAATGTGTATTCATGTAAGTGGTTACTTTATGCATACGTCTCTTAAATGGCTTTTACCCATAGGCCTGAAAAAAAAATAAATTCTTTGAGTTTTGCACTAGAGCTCCTCGTCACTGTCATCGACTTGTTGTATGATAAGGTCAGCACCCGAGTCTTCTGCCAGGTCATCATCATCATCATTTACTATCCATGACCTTTTGGTGTCTCCTTCCTCCTCTCCATCCACGCCCAGTAACAGGGCTGGCTCATCATTGGCCCCATCCAGAGGGTCCATAGAGATGTTGTCGCAGCCAACTTCCTGTATGCATGCAGTGCACATGCGGTAGCGACGTGTGCCCTCGCACACAACATGCCCAGTTTCTTCTGTCACAGGACACTTGCACTTCCTGCACACCAACTTCCTGGCCTGGTGAATCTATGGGAACAAATACTGCAGAGTTAACTGTATACAGATCAACAACTTCTTTCAACTGTGAGAGACTTACAGTCTCAAAATGGCTTCGGAGATGCTCCAGGCGGGTAAAGCGCTTGTTGCAGGCCTGACAGGGGTATGGGCGCTCCCCAGTGTGGCATCGTAAGTGTCTCTTTAGATCTGCCTTTCTTTTTACTGTATGAGTGCAAAAGGGGCATTTGAACCGCATGATGGGGTGGTCTGTGAACAAAACGTGAATAGATAATTAGGATTTTAATAACTTTGAAATCAATTTAAAATAATAGATGCTGTTTTTACCCTTATTAAATTGTCCGATGACTCCGACTATCGATGGCAGAGTGGCATACAGCTCGTCTGCCTTTTCAGCTTTCTGTGCCCTGGCCTCCTGCAGGTTCAGGTCATTGTGTTGGTTTGGGCGATTGCTGGAGGATTTCCTTTTGGAACCTCGACCTCTCTTTCGTTCTGCTCCTGGTAGTGTATATAGGGGGTCTTGTGGGTCCTCAACCTCGACACTCAGATCATTAACAGGGCTGCTTACATCAGTTTTTATGGCAGCAGATGAGAGGTCCTGGTCAGAGTCCTTGCCACCAAAAGGGCACTGAGTTCTGGAAGTGTCCCTTGTCCAGAGAGCAGGAGGTGGACTGGGGGCAGGGCCAAGCTGCTGTGGCTGTGGGTCTAAGCTCTCCTCTCCAGGTGCACTGGTAAAGCTACAAGTTTCAGATAAACTGGGGCAATGTTCACTTTCCTCCTCTTTCACACTAATGTCTAGAGATGATTTTATGAAGTTTTTGCAGTAGGTGATAAGACTGTTCATCTGCAGGTAACTGGCTGCAGACATAACCTCAATGACATCAGTGCTGGTGAGGTCCAGCTGCCCTGAGTAAATAAAATCCATAATGACTGTGAAGGTCTCTGGGCTGAAGACATCAAATGTGGCATTGACCGTGTCGGACAGCCCATCTGGTGCCTGGGACAGCAGCATGCGGAAATAGCCGCTACTGGCAAACAGAACATTTCGATGGGCTCTGAAGAGCTGGCCCTCCACCAGCACACTGCAGTCACAGAAGAGCTCCTGGCGGCGCTGCTGGTTGAGCTGCTTCAGCACGTTGCTTTGGTGAGCCACTGTGATGTCAGCAGTGTTGAACCACCTCTGAGGCTGCCTGCAGGTCACACATAACAGAGTGTGATAGGACAGAGCAGTTCTTCAAATGTACTTTATGGTTACTAAACAGTTGTTATTACGCTATGTACATTTAAAAGGACAACGCAAGGTGCAAGAGTTTTGTTTCTGCACTGGACTAAAGTCACACTATAGCTGCTCTGTGATTGGCTGGATGTCACTTCGATCAAAATGTAGGCTAACTTCTTGGGCTACACCCGACTTCAACTGAGAGCTTCGGGTGACAAATCCGTGTCATCCTTTCTGACAAATATAAATAGCGTTTATAATCCATACATTATATTATTTTTAATTAGGAAGTATAGAGGTTCGATGCCGAATGGTGCGAGATGAAAGAGAATAAATTCAAAAGAAGATATAGGTATAGCCTTTTTAGCACAACCATAAATCATAGTTGTACATACATATTTGGCGTATCATTAATGAAACGCACGCCTTCATTATAAATCACTCGTGGTGGTGACTATGCGCGTCGCCCGACGCGCAGTGCGACGCCCGCCTCCTCGCGCCTCTACTGCCGCAGAAAACCCTGGTCTGAACTGAGAGGAGCTTTCACTGGACACGACCAACCAACGCCATGAAAGTGCTGCTGCTGCAGTCCTGCGAGAGAAAAGCGGGCAGCCCTGTGCTCGTCTGTCCTGGAGCGACGCCCACTTCAGGCTTCGGCCACCACACAATAGAAAAACGCACCCACCCCGCGCTACAGAGCACGATTTGCGCTTGCAAACCAAAATATTTGTTTAATTTAAGAAAGTAATGTATCGGTGTGAATATACACCCGCTTTCATCCTCGAGACCATGCTCATCTTTAGAGGTCCGATGCACGGCGAGCAGCGGGGAGGATTTGCCTGCTACCCGAGCCCTGTGCCTCTCTCCCAGGCAAGGCATTTGGCAAGACCCGTTTACGCCCCACTCTATAAAAAGCCTTTAAATGAATTTATACTCACTGGTGAGCTGGTTCACCCGGTGCCCGATATAATCTGCTCTGCCCTAAGTCTGTCACTATATCCATTCTGTAAGATTTCTAGTTTCTCTCCCCTTTTCTCGTTCAGGGTCCACTCGCACATAGACAGGCACTTCCTGTTCAGCCCTAAAGAGCGAAACCCGGTGAGAGCGCGCGGAGCCGTGTGCTGACGTGGGTGTTTATTAACAGGGCGCCCGAGGGTTGAAGCATGCATTTAAAGATCCACTACCTTTAGATATGTGCGTGGAAGGAACGGGCTGTCTTACAGAATACAGATCAGTTTGCAATACTCTTTTACATTAGGGTGGTAGCGTATGCAGGAGGAGATCTTCCCTCACACTTTAATATCTACAGTCTAAATAAGTGCATCAGTTTTCTTTTAAAAGTAATTTATTTCATGTTTTTTTTTTTTTTTTGTATTACCATTATATTTAGAATTAGATGAAATGATTTATATGACAAATGTTTGATATAAAACACTACAAATTACACATTTATGTCTAAAATAGCTAACTTTATGGATTTTATCTTAAAAAAAGAAAAAGAAAAAAAGAATGGTCATTTGTTTTCTCTTTCTTTCTGCTAAATCAAATGACAAAAGAAAAAATCAGGAGGCTGTGCCATTTGAAAATCCAGTGGGGTTCATGGACTGCCAGCGCCACAGGTCCTCACCTAAAAAAAAAAAGAAAGAAAAGAAAACAAACAAAGAAAACAAAGGTTATAGCATAAACCTGGAGTTAAAATGTTATCTTTTGGTGCAGAGAGCTTGGTGTAAGCCAACTCTGCATTAATATGATACTGGTTATATTTCTTACACATTCTCTCTAGGTCAAATTGAGCTTTCCATCCCAGCTCCTTTTCAGCCAGACGAGGGTCTGCATAGCAGGAAGCAATATCTCCACTTCTGCGTGGTGCAATCTTATATACAATCTGAAGAAAGTACACACACAATACTCAAAATAGCATTAGTAAAAGTCATTGAATGAAATGTGTATAATTTTTTTCCTAATATATTGTACCTCTTTTCCTGAAGCTTTTTCCATAGCTTTGACCATTTGAAGCACAGAGTAACCCATTCCTGTCCCCAAATTATAAACCTATGGGCAGAAACACTTATAAACAAGTCTTTCTAATAATAATAATATCATTACATGTCCTTTAAAAAACATACCTTACACCCACAATTATCCTTTAGCCTATTTAGAGCTGCTATGTGCCCTTTTGCAAGATCTACCACATGGATATAGTCTCGAACACCTGAACAGAAGAGAGAGAAAAGGTCTTTTTGAAAACCATGCTGACGTTCTGGGACTATCTTGTGCATAAGATAAAAACATACCAGTTCCATCCACGGTGTCATAGTCATTTCCAAACACATTAAGGCACTTTCTTCTTCCAATTGCAACCTATGATGTAGAGAAAAGCAGAAGCAAAACTATTACACAAAACACAGCATTTTTTTTTTACATTTAATTTATATACTGCTTTTCAAAACACTCAAAGATGTTGAAACATATTAGCATTTTGTGTGTGTGGAAAGAGATGGTACCTGTGCAACATATGGCAGAAGATTGTTCGGGATGCCCTGAGGATCCTCCCCAATAAGTCCTGAGGAATGTGCTCCAATTGGGTTAAAATACCGCAACAGCACAGCGTTCCAGCCCTGAGCGTAGTCAACAGTAAAAACCTCATTCATTTATACCTTTGTACATCCTTTTCTCTATTTTTACCTTCTCAGCTTTACAATGGTCCTTGATCATCTCTTCAATAAAGTACTTGGTTTTGCCATAAGGGTTGGTGCAGCCTCCCACAGGGTGCTCCTCATCTATAGGCAGATGCTGTGGATCTCCATACACTGTGGCTGAGCTGCTGAAGACCAGATTGTGTACGTTGTGAGCCTGCATCACCTAGCGCACATGCATACACAGACACATTTACAGTGAGCAGCCAGTTAGGGATCTCTCCAAAGCACACATCACCACGTTAGTACTTTAGCAACTGTTATTAGTCTACATGGCAACGATGTAACATGCAAACTGAATATATATTAAAAGGCAAGCAAAATAGTGAACAGAAACATCATGCTGAAGAATTTCATGCAGTGAACACCAGACAATACTAGTTTGAACTAACCTCCAGTAGGTTCATTGAGGCAGTGAGGTTGACCCTGTAGTACCGTAAAGGCTGCTCCACAGATTCTCCAACTGCCTTCAGGCCTGCAAAGTGCATCACAGCACTGAAAGAGTGCTGCAAAGAGATTTTGTACATAAGTTATTTTTCTATTTAAACATACACAATTATTATGGAAATTATTAAGACAGCGGACCTTTTTAAAAAGTTTCTCCAAACCAGGTCGGTCAAGAAGGTCCAGCTCATGAAATTCAATCCTGGTGTCCAAAAGCTTTTCAATCCGGTTAATGCTCTCTGGCATGCCCCTGTCCCCTTCTTTCCCAATAGGATGTGTACATAAGAGCGCAAGGAGAAATGAGAGGTTGTTTGTAATGATGACATCGCAATTCTATCATGTGATATGAAAAATATATTACCTCGTACTGCGTTACTGAAATTATCCACTACTACAGGAATGAATCCAGCTTCAATCAGCTCTACAACACAGTGACTGCCAATATAGCCCGCTCCACCAGTGACTAGAACCTTTTCTGACATTTTTATATCTGTTACCTTGAGAGTGACAAGACACAATATGAGAGTTTAGTTATTATTAGACAAAGTAAAGTAACTTTGATGGCTCTAAATATCCTACTGAAACACACCTTACACACGTCACCATACATTCATAACCTGTCGAGCCATTCTTTGAAATCACAATAGCCTCATATAACAATAGTAGTCTCTCCTCAGCCAAGTATTTTCATTTAAGGCTGCTGTTATCTCTGCAGTGATATCATCATTCAAACCGATAAAAAGCTTTATTAAAATGTTTCAAGGCTCGTATTAAATAATACACTGTTACTAGTTTATAATATATAGGGCTAGTTTATCATCTTGGATGATAGAAATGGCTAAATGTACAGTGTCATATGAAATAACCTACAACATTTTATTTAGGTGGCTATGTTACTACAGCATTATCAGTTAACAGGTAAATAAATTACATTGCTGTAGTCTAAGTGTCCTTACCAAAAAGCACGATGAAAGAAGTTAATTTTCCGGATATTGTGGATAGTAGTGTACGCGATAAGGTTTAAAAACCTGTTAGTCCTCAAGTGAAGTTTTCCACTCTATGCTCTTTGCTTCAAACATTGCAGTACTTCCCGTATAAAGTGGAGATTGTCCTGGTTGTGCATCCGTATTTGTATTTCCTGTAGAGGGACTTTCAAAGTTAAAGTGTGAAACAAACCCTACTGCAAATAACTACATCATTAAGAGTAGACCAAAAGTATGGCTGGATTTCTTTAAAATCAATGATTTATTAAAGTAAAAATGAGATATAAATCTGCAAGTGCCTTTAAAAATATAAAATGTTGTTGGATTTTAAAATATTTACCGGAACATACTGTTGTATAACCGAGCATCTCACAGATCAGCAGGGTTTGTACTACGTGGACGTCTGACGTCAGTCTAGGATCAAGCCACGCCTTCATCACACATTTCAACAGAGGGATCATTGTGAGGATGGCCTAATGTAAAGGAAGGACATTTTAATGCACATTTGAACATTACTATAAATTCAGTAGCTTAGCCTGTAGTATACACACTCTATAGGCACACAGTGTGAACTTTTGTGTACAGCTTTCATAAGTTTATAGGTCCAGATCTCAAAAAGACATAGACTAGGCTATTACTATGTCTACCAGTCAGTGATTTAGATTTATTTTTTCTTTTGGAATTATTTTTTGTGCATACATTTTAACTTCCTTTGTGCTACCCCATGTCCTGGATCATGGTTTCTATTTTAGACCTGTTTAGACCAATTAAGGCCTCCGCCTGACTTGATTTTGGTGGTGTTCAAAAATACAAACCTTTTCTTGCTTTAATATAATACATTTGAGAAACACTGCATAAATGTCACCATATCTGCTAATCCACATAGAGTGGAGTCCATAGGTAGATGTGGCCTATGTCAGTGGGCAAAACATATAATAAATAATGGGTACAAGTTGTTTTCCACATCACCTCTGGTCTCTGCCTCTGCCTAACAACCACAGCCCATGAGCCCTGTGAGGGGGAGTGTGAGCAGTGTGCAAATGCAGAGAGACATGAGTGTGACCCAGATGAGGCCGGAGGAGGCCGAGTGCGCCACAGGGAAATGCCAAAGAGCCACAACCCACATGTGAGCGCCAGGCACAGGCTCCAAGTGGAGAGCTGCAGAAACTGACCAATGAGAACTCACACAAGCCCATTTCTGTAAACTCATATATTTTATAAGCTTATTCATTCACTGTTTAAGAGCTATCAGGTGCCAATACTATCAAAGGCCCCAGCGATTATCTTATTAGTGAGTCTTTTGACTGTTGTAGAGGCTTTTACAAGGTTTCCACGGCAACAATAAAAAAATCTAAAGCCTTAATTTAACTATCTTGACTTTAAACAGTCTGGATCACCACAGTTTATCCAAATGGGCTTTGCAGCTGACATATTTTAATAACAATTATACACCGACTCATTATAGTGTTATTATTTGTCATCTAAATGTCAGTAGCTTCACAAAAACACTTTCTGATGAATGTCTCCAGGGTCTGTGCCAGTAAATGGACATGCGGAGGTGGATCATTTGCACAAAGCACAAGAGATGGATGAAATCTGGAGATTACTTGGAGCACTGGTTTGAGGACATTTACCAGAGAGAAAAGCTGGTCGGCCCCAGGGGTAGAACTGTCATATTTAAGAGGAAGGATCAACAAAGATCATTAAGGATCAGGCAGGATTTGGAATTCAAAGAAAATGTAAATGCAGATACAGATACAGATATAAAGAAAAGCAGTAAAGCAGTATTTTTGCCAACAAGACACAACACAACTAAGCCCATTATAAATATTATGCAACTTTACACACCTTGTATATCAGTGGGTGAATTATTTATCTAGTTCATAACGTCATAGTCACATATTATTATGTGAGCCACTTAACATTGGTAGATGATGAGTGAGTTGTCAAATTTGTGTTTTTAGAAAATGTTAAATGCTGATTTTAGAACACATTGAAGGTAATACTATCTCCACAACTACATTAAACTAGACCTGATGGCTGACACCTCATGCGTCACAAGTCTATGCTGAATTGAATTTGTTGAAAAGTGAGTAGCTGGGAGCACACGAGGGTGTGGCCGTCATCCCTGGATCTCCATCTGAGTCCCTTCATCTCTCTCTCTACCTGAGTGCCATTTAATCCTCCCCTCATCCTCGGCTCCCAGCTGCCTCCGTCTCAATAGCGCGCTGCATTAACACTGAGGAACTTTCCCCTGCTGCCTGTTAGTCAAAGCTGATTGGAGATTACAGGCCTGCGGCGAAACACAGCTCCTCCATCTCATCTCAAGTCACTTCCCCAGACCCTTATCGGCCTTATCTCTTGCCCATGTAGCCATTTTTCTTTATCTTATTAATCCTAAATCTCCTCCATTTCAATGTCATCATCCTTCACCTGCCATTACGCTTTGGCCCCATTCAGAGCATTTTAAGTGTGTCTGAATGAGAGCAAGAGAAGAAAGGCTTCTGATGCTGAGGGGAGCCAGGATGATGTCATGGGGGCATTTGTCCTCCTGGTGTGGAGGCTTCCCTTCCTCTGCTAATTACCTTGTACAAACTCGAATCTGATATGGCGGATATGAGGCCCAAATACAATTATTGTGGGCTAACAAAGAGATATTGAGATCCAGGGAACGAGACCGCTAGTGAGATAGCACGGACACATACACATGCACTCTCACACACACGCTCACACACACACACACACACACACACACACACACACACACACACACACACACACACACACACACACACACACACACACGCTCGCAAACACAACCACTTGTCCTTCCCCTCCATTCCCTCAGATAGGCTAATGTTATTACCAGGGTAATTATGCTCATTAGAGCCAGCAGCTGTAGAGAGGCCAGTACTGGCTGTACAGCCTCCACCCCAAACCTCAGCTCTCACATCTCTTTGTCTCACTATAGCTCACATCTGATGCTCTTGTTTTCTACTTTTTAGAGAGAAAGCATTCGCAAATATTGTAGAAATCATTGAATTTGCAGGTGATGGCTTTTTATTGTTATTATTTTCACAAGACAAAACTTGCTCCCAGTCAAAGTAAGAGCCTAGCCAGTACAACCATTGTGTGCTAAGCCAAAAGTTGAAGGTTGTTGTGTTACCTTCTGTTCAGAACACAAGAGGGCACTGTTTAGTCAGTGACCACTTGCAGTAGCTTTGCAAAAGTCGACACTCAGTGGTGGGCCCCTGGTTTAGTCGCCGCAAGGTTTGTGTGGCTAAATCATTGATTATTTATTTATTTATTTTGGGGGAAAATGTCTTTACCTGCCCTATGGATGTGATAGCCCCCACATAACTCTCATGGTCCAGCCCAAAAAGTAGCGTTTGTTTCTGGAGGAAACAACCATGAAAATGACTCCCTTCAGACCTTCCTGCCTCATACTCGTCAACATTTTTACACAGAAATTATGAGATCAACCAGTGAGCTTTACACACGGCTGTCCCTTTTCTCTGGGAAATTGCTTCCTCTTTTATTACGTGGGGTTGATGCGGACAGTAGGTAACCTGTACACAGCAAAGCCCTGCATCAGGCGCTAAATGTCATGCATAGCTTGTTTTTATTGGCTGATACGGCCTGTTGTGCCCTTCTCCTTTTCCTGGAAGCTATTGTTAAAGAGATGGTTGTTAATGCTGCTGACCAGATGGGCTCTTCTCCCCGCAGCCCTCACTAAGGCTGTTTACCATGCGCGGGGCTGTGGAAAACAGGTGAGACGAGCGCCGGTGTCTGAACCAATCAGAGCGCAGCAGATGTCTGGCCCCATCCTGTAAACCTTTATTTGGCATTTCATTTTGGTTCAGGGGATGGAATGTAATAACACTGAATCAATGTGAATTCTGGCCTATTTATTATAGCCTATATGTGGCTATTAAAGAGGAGTAGGAGCCATCACAATTTTCTATCATCATGCTGCCATTTCAGAATAGTGTGTTTTGATGCAGTAGAAACATACTTGATGAACTATAATAATTACCTCTATTGTCAAGCCAATATGACTTTTGAAAATGTTCTCTTGTGATCAAATGTTTCTACTATTGGTTCGGCAAACACTGGACATTCCTTTCACTTTCCAGGGCAGGCCATCTTGAAATTCTGCAATTTGGTATCATGGCAACAGCAAGGTTTAAAGCGGGCCTGGGATGGTTGAGGAGGACTCTTTTAAAGCTCAGAATCAATCTGGCCTAATGGATGACCAGTGGCTAGCATGCACGTATGGATTAGTTTGTCCGGAGCACCTGTCCCTGCTCTGTCAACAGGGGATCAGGTTACTGGCTACATATTCACCAGACTAAATCAACTTCCTCTGATTGACACCAAGGTTTCTTTTTTCACACATTTCACATATACGTAAATGTAAAATGTATTTTCAAAATAATTATGAAATTTATGGCACATATTTACACAGCATTATCCCACCTGTCTCCCAGAATGAAAATAAATGGCGCAAAATGAAGCCCCTTAGGTTGATTATGGAGTTAAGCTGGCGGAGCAGACCAGTGGAGCATGACCAAGGCCAGGCTTAACAAGAGCAGCCAGCTTCTGAACCACAACTGGGAATCAGACAGAATCAAGAGAAAAGACCTGTGCGCCTAAAGAGATTTAAAGATTATTTTATTATGAAAAAGCAAGCTGTTCTCTTCTGTCCTTGCACACTACCTGGATATTTCATTATTTTCTAAATCAGTATTTGAAAATAAAACAAAACAATTAAGCCAATTTGCTTAATATCTGGACTGAATAAAAAGTCTTGTCCCCAATCATTCACAATCATTAAATGTTTCAAATTCGCAAAAATATGGCCTTTTTCTTTCTCAGTGAACACTGAATGATAATTATGCTGATAATGATCTCCTTTACTTTTATAACAGCAGGTCTGCAGCAACATTAGTTGAGATAGATACAAACATTTTATATAAATTAAATGACTTATTGCTCTTTCAGATGTCATCTTTATTCTGGACTCATGGTCCATTTTTAAAACAGACAAGGACAGTAACAATACAAAACAACAAACATTTATGTTTTTAAAAGACAATCACACCAGTGTCTCCACATGTTGGACTGAT